GATGGTCACTACCCATCAATCACTCTCGACATATTAGCTTCGGCTCCCCAGAACCTCGCGACTTTTTCCTGAATTACTTTTTAATATCCTGTGTAGTTATAAATATGTGTATGTGACCAGACGTCTTACACACACACACACACGCACACACACATACACACATACATACACACACATACATACACAAACACACACAGGGCATAAGACTAGTCTAAAATATTAACTGTTAGGGTCACGATAAAGTATAGGAATTACAAGCCAAAAATTGAAGAGGAATGTGAAGAGCCTGTGTTTCATCTCTCTTAACTATCCTACAGAAAACACCAAACTGCAGCACATTTCCAGTGAAATACTGCGATTTCGGTCTGGCGTGAGCGATATTATCAAGGCAATGTATGCCAGTACAAGACCGAAATTGGTCTTGTGGCGGAAGTAAAGAGATAAAAGATGAATGAGCAAAAGCATATCGCATGAAGAGATACGCCAAGCATCCTTCGTTCGCTTCATTGCTCTCTCAGTCACAGTACCGGCATTTGCTCTTCAGCTTTCCTGAGTGATCAGATTTCGCATCTGTACGTCGTCTTCAACATATTGGCGCCAATATAGATTATAATGGAATATATAGGTTATAATGAAATATATAAATTATAATGAAAAATTATAAGGTGAAACATAGATTATAATGAAAGAAAAAAAAAATGAAAATTGAAAATAAAAAGACCAAATTCCCCAAAGAGGAATTTTTCGGTCCAAATAATTCGTACACATTCCTGTTCAGCACTACAACTGGACCTCGTCAGCATGACAGATATCCACCATAATCTATACATATATATATATGTATTTATCGTGCCCATCTCTTTGGTAAAGCTGTGTTGAAGGTAGCGACAGACAAATGCGAAATGTGGTGGTGGTGGTCACTCACAAAAAGTTGAAGAGCGAGTGCTGACGCTGTGACCGAGAGAGAGCCAGAGAGAGCGATGGAGCGAAGGATGCTTGGCGAATCTCTGCACATGATATGCTTTGCTCATCTCTTATCTATTACCGATTGATGCCATTTTAATCCTGAAAGAAATTTGAGGTGGGAAAAATCACTTAAACGATTATATGAAGCTACTTGGACGAAGCAAACATAAAACAGGAAAAAAAATGGACAGAAAAGGATATCCTCGCATAGCCAATGTTCCCCTTCCGAGTCCCGGAAGTACCACCACGGAAACACAAAGAAAAAAAAATAACAAATTATTCAAGCACACAATTAACGAATGATGATTTGGCACAGTGCGTGGCGTCCAGATTTCCGGCGCTCGCTAATTTGCGGCT